AGCAATGCTGAAATATCGTTAAATAAGTGTGTTTTGCTCTCTTTTTTCTTCTATTTTACTACCAAAATGTCGGCCAATTGCTTTGATATTTTTATAGTTGATAGAGAATAGCCTAAAAATGCTTCTCGTTGGATTGCAACGCGATGGTCTTAAGTTGTAGCAGTTGTTCATTATTTTCAGTTGTTCAAGTAGAAAATTGGACCAAAAAAAAATACGAACAGCCAACACCATTAATATTCGAGTCAAAATTGAATACTCAGTCATAGCTAAATGTCTATACAGCAAATCCCTCTAATCTTTTTCAAATTCATTGCAATCTTGAAAAAAAAAACTTATTAAAACATTTGAATAATGTTTTTGACTCTTAGAAAGTGAAAATTATATCTAATGATATTGACAATGTTGAGAAAAACAATTTGTCAAAAAAATCTCCTGTCTTACGTTAAAATTGCTAGTAATAAATGTCATTTGGCTTAATATCTCAAAATAGTGACGGATTCAGAAGAGTTATTATTGAATTATTATTCAATGTTCTACAACAAACTGCTCACGAGGAAAAAAAAGGATTTGAATTCTTATTGATATTTGATTACGCTTTAGATTTTTTAATGCATTTAGTATTATTCCTGTATATACACTACCGATGAAAAAGCGTCTACATCTTGAAAATCTAATATTTAGTAGAGACTCTATTCAGAACTTCTGCATTTCTTTTTATAAAAGCTCGCTTCTTTAGAAATACGCATTTTAAAAATTCGATGGATAATTCGAATATAAATTGAATCTAAATTATTTTAGGGTTTTTTGCAACATTATGTATACAGATAATTTGTTCATCTTCGCTTTGTCATTTTGAATAAAAATTGATGAATAGTTGAAGAATGATTCGCATGATTCAACAAGCTATTAGTCGTCTTTTTATTCAGAATAAACCATAAACATTTTATGCATAAGTGTAAAAATAAAATACAAACTTGAAAATTTCAAACTCAATTTAACAAAACACAGAAATTTTCCGCTGCTTTCGGTTTAATTCTGATGACTTCAGATTAATAGGTATTTTGTTGTAATACAGCAAACTATTTCTTCTTAAAGGGATTTTCTTTACTACTAAGTTCATTTAGTAAATGTCTTGATCGTAATGATCTTCCTTTTTAAATCTAATTATATACTAGGTGTGCCAAAATTTTTGCTACATCTTTTATTTTGCATATATCTCGGCATAGATAAATAATAAAAGTTTGAAAAATTCTGAATTTTCTGATTTAATAACAACGACTTTTTCAACTCAGAGTTCAGAGAAAGCCTTCAACATAAGATATCGACTCACCAATTATAAATAAGTGTGTACTTTATTCCGTATCAATAAGTAATAAATATAGATGAATAGTTCAAATAATATTAACTTTTTCTGCTTCTTCATCTAAGCCCTCAATGTTTTGTAGTTTCTAATGCTTTTTTTTATTATTATTACTAAAGAACATTATAAGATTACTTATCTAACCGAATATGAATACGATATAGACAATATTCTCTATCTTATCATACTAGAAGAAACACATCTGATCAGGTTTAACACAAGAGAAAAAAAATTTCCATATAGCTGATATTTTTTCTGCGCAACCTATTAGTATCAAGTAATGGTAAAAATTATTGAACTCATCGAATTAAAATATTTGCTATAAAATAAAATCTAAAAGTTTTTTTCGAAATATTAATCAATAATTTTTATTCGGTGTTCTTAAATTCTCTTTCTGATAAACTAGTTTAAAGCATCAATCACACCGACTAATTCAAAGTGAATTAAAACAGAATTAACGAATAAATCATCTTAAAAAGATGTCTCTTTTATATAAGTATAGTACATAATAAAAAATCATTATGCAATGAGAGATGACTCTATCATGCATACCGTTTTTTATTGACACATTCCAGGGTTTGCAATAGCAGGTGTACCAAGCAGAAACAAAATGTACAGGATATCTGCTGTTTTTTATGTACACTCTGTTTTACACTTTGGTTGGAAAAACAAATTGTGTACGTCGTACACTGTACAGAATAAATTTACATTTTCATATTAACGCATTAAAAGTACTAAGAAGTTTTAAATCAAATAGAACGGAAAGGTCATAGCAAATTGTGATATCTTTCGATTGGTCTTATCATTAATTAGATATGCCTTCTTTTTTTCTTGATCTTTGATAATGATGCGACTCTATGCAATACAAAACTCGTTTATGTTTTTTTTCTATAAACTTGCGTTTTTCTTTGCTTATTTTTTTTTGTAAAACGGTAGATAATGAAATAGGATAGGTACTTGTTATTTTTGGATGATTTTGTACTTACATTTCTTGGTTATGAATGATCCGAATATTTCAATTTATATGTAATATTTGAAAAAAAAATTGACTTCCGTATCCGTACACTTGGATACATTTTGGTGATGAAAATAAAGTGGTATTTATTGTGAAAGAACGCACGTGTATCCTATTATTCTGAAGATTTTGGTTTTCTTCTTTTATCGATTACTAGCGTCATTTGATTATTTCTGATTAGTTATTTTATTCTGACAAATCATTGTAAGATCCAGTAGTTCATTATATTGTTATTACTTAGGGCATACCAAAAGTAGTGGCGTCAGTATCTTTTTTCTTTAATAGAAATCTTGAATAGATTTTCTTTTTTTGTTTAGTGATAGAGAAAACGATGCTCTATTTTTCTATGCTATTTGATCATTCTTCAACTAATATCCAAATAATAAAATTTCGGTAAGAATTTGTATAAAAAAAAAATAAAATATACCAGTAGATGCAACGTGAAAAGCTCTATAATTGTTAAAGAACAGCTTATTTTATATTTCAGATAAGAAACAAGGAATTTCTCTTCGTATAGAAAAAAAAACTTTTTTTCGAGATAATTTTACTTTCTTTGGAAACAAGAAGTACGCAATTAAAGTAAGCAATCTTAGACAGATTGTAGGGCTTTTCACGTTGCATCTTTTGATGTATTTTTTTTAAAATAAAAGACATGAGGTGATAAAAAGATGAAATAAGAAAAAAGTGAATTTATCTTGTACCAAAAAAAAATGCGTTTTTGCAAGGTCGAAAATTAGTTGCTGAAAATTTTGCTCATTATGAGAACAAAAAGTGTAACTATAAAATAAGTAATCTTACGTAAATTGTAGAGCTTTGAGGCTGCATCTAGTGATATATTTTATTTTTTTGATACAACCTATTAAGTAATTGAAAATTGGAAGGCAAAGTGTGGCCATTTAATCGACCTCACATATTAGTGAAGTTATACACAAAAACAGTTCTGATCGAAATTTTATTATTTGGATATTAGTTGAAGAATGATCAAATAGCACAGAAAAATAGAGCATCGTTTTCTCTATCACTTTATTAATCTTGATTAAATTTTTCATAGTACTAAAAATATCACCAACATAAATATGATTAATTAATTGAAATGTGTAAATATAAATCTTTTTCTTACTTCACAGAAGATTATAGAAGAATAATAACAGTAAAAAGATGCAGATCGAGAAATGTTTACTCTATTTTGGAAAACATGCAACTGTACAGACATACTTCTATTTAATTCTATTGTCCTTTTCAATTATTTATTGTTCATTCCTAAATAAGAGATAAGTGAAGTTTTCTGCTGTGCAGCATATCGAAATCTTTAAAGAGAAAACAACACTTCAATAGTTACTATTTTCATGTTCGAATCATATTATGATATTACAAGCAGAAGAAATATAACTTTGTTAATCAATGATGATATTTAAATATCTGTTCTTAAACATCGATAAAAAATATGCAGACTAAATAAAATTTTTCTTGAAGTTATTTTATAAAGTTCCTATTTTCAAAGGAAATTATTATGAAGAAGAAATTATGGAAATTCAATTCGATGTGTTAAGACATGAACATAAGAGATCAATTTAATATGCAAAAAAAATATAGGAATGATATTAATATTTTTAGAATTAGATGAGGAAATATATCTATATATTTTTCATCATAAAATGAGTTTTGTAGTCTTTCAATTGAATGTATAAAAATGAATGTTGACTAAAGATCATTTCTCATATGTTGATGTATGAAAATTTATATTTATCACGATCTCTTAACGTGTTTGATCAAATAAATTCTTCAATACTCGAGCAGCTCTATGAAACCAAGTATTTAACACAAATATCTTCTATATCGAAAATTCATAGAGAGTTGTGAGAAAAAAGGTTCTGAAAAATCAAACCTTCATTATCTTATTAATAGATAAAGACTCACGTGTCTATGTTATGTCACAGTTATGATATTCTAGTTTGTTGTAACCTTGAAATGCGAAGAAGCCTCCATGGATGACTGCGATTGTGAAACTTTTAAGATAAATGGTTAACATTAACTGCAGATATTGATCGATTTTTTGAAGATTTTGTTTAAGAGTTTAGATAATTTTTTATCCTAGAGAAAATAATCTTGAACATGTAACTAAATACTTTCTAAAATATTCCTATTTAATCGTACATCGTAATACCCAAACAAAATACATAAGAGACGTCCTTTTTCTGAATGACTCTTTCGTTAGAATCCTATTAAACACTTCGATTCGTAATTTACTATATAATTAAGAAGATATAAATACATTTGTCTTTATTTTTGAAATATTCATCCTTCATTTATTTTTTGATTAGAAATTATTTGATAATGATCAAAATGGCTAAGAATCAATGAATGATGAATTCAATGAAATGGAAAGTACAAGTGAAGAAGAAGATAATGATGAATCTAAATTTAGTTAAATAAATTTCGTTGTTTGTTTTTCTATAATTATTTTTTCAATAAAAAATAAAATAGTTTGATATTGAAAAACAATCCAAGAAATTACGTGAAAAATAACGTCAAGCAAAAGAATGTTTCGAACAAGAATTATTAGCAAATATTCAACAACAAGAAATAGTTCAATTTTCAAGTGGACAAGAAATTACAAAAGAAGGTTTTATAATAACAATAGATTTTGATTGTTTATTTTATTTCTTTTAGCTCCACAAGCTGATTTACAATTCTTAATGTATTGTATTCATGAAGTAATTAATATTTTAAATAATTTTTAAAATAAACGTGAATTAAATTGATCAAGAAAAGAATATCTTGATTTACTTAAACAAGATCTATGTAATTATTATTCATATAATGAATTTTTAATGAATAAAATTATTGAATTATCTCCACTTGCTGCAGTAAAAAATTTTAATTAAATATTCTTTTTGTATATGAAATTTATAAATAGATTATTGATTTTTTTGGAAGCTAATAAAGTTCAACGAGAAGTAACTATTCGAACGAATACCTTAAAAACATGTCGTCGTGATCTAGCACAAGCATTAATTAATCGTGGTGTTAATGTTGATCCACTTGATAAATGGACTAAAGTTGGTCTTGTTATTTATTATAGTCAAGTACCAATTGATGCAACATCAGAATATCTAAGTGGTCATTATATGATTCAAGGTGCATGAAGTTTTTACCTGTAATGGCATTAGCAAATCAACCAAATGAGCGAATTTCGGATATGTGTGCAGCTTCAGGTGGAAAAGCAACTTATATTGGTAAATTGATTGATTATTTGATTTTAGAGAGGAGACTTATTTGAAACATTTAAATTTTGGGTCCATTAATGCGAAATATTGGTATATTAGTAGCAAATAATGCTAATTAAGATCGTGCAAAAGCTATTATTGTTAATATACATTGATTAAGTTTAAGAAAATACAATTGTAACAAATCTTGACAGAAGACATTTTTCTGAGGTAAATATTTTCATTAATTATTAGAATAGGTTTTTTTTGTTAGAGTTTAATAATAATGAATATGTAAAACTAAATAGATTATTGACTTCTAACATCTGATTCATAAGGAAGAAACTACTCGAATTGATTTGGCTTCTAATGGAGGTTTCCGTTAGAACAGAAAAAATCCTGCAAGACTTCGTAGTCATAGATCTCTAGGACTAAATTATGAGAGTTTTACTAAATTCCGTCTATACATAGGTCGAGATGACTTAGGGAATATCCTGAAAGTTTCAAATAAGAAGAATGTTCCTATGTCAAGATATTAAATTTTTGTGAAGAGTCATCAGCCGTATCTATGAACAAAATTCAATAAAATAATCACAACTCAGTTCTGGAGGTCTATAGG